GCCATCACTTCCCCTGTGGACCAGGTACCCCAGAAGGTGCTTATTTACCAGTAACTTTTCCTCTTGAGTCTAGACTTGGTCTCCAAATTCTTCTCAACAGCATGCTTATGTGGAGTTGTCCCATAAAGCCTCTCTGTCGTTCCTGATGTAGGGATTGGCACTTTAAAGCAAGGCTTTAAGCAAGGGCGAGATGTGAGCCTATAAGTCAGCGGTTCTCAACCTGTGGGTCGTGACCCCTTTGGCGGTCGAACGACCCTTTCACAGGGGTCGCCTAAGACCATCCTGCATATCAGATATGTACATTACGATTCATCACAGTAGCAACATTACAGTTATGAAGTAGCAACGAACATAATTTTATGGTTGGGTCACAACATGAGGAACTGTATTTAAAGGGCCAGAAGGTTGAGAACCACTGCTTTAAGTGTTTGGGGACAATCACAGCACTGACTCCAGGAAGCAATTGCAGTGGTGGTAGCAGGGTCAGCTGCAGGAAAGGGGGAGACTGTTGGTAGGATGCAGGGGTTTGGGGCGTGAGCAAACGCAAACAGTGAGAGAAAGAGGCGAGCCGGCCAGTGTAAACGGGAATCTTAGCCTGGTGCCCAGTGCTCTCCCCGGGGAGAGGGAATGAGCAGTTGTGTTGGCCAAGAGGGTGGAGATCTGGGGAACCTGGCTCCCTAAGAGCTGCTACTTTCTGTCCTAACTGTACCTGTTCTGAAACGAAGCAGGTAAATAATGCACACCCTCTGTCCTAGGCGGGTGCTGTGAGGAGAGCTGGAGAGTGGCCCTCCTTCCTTCCGCCGGTCCGACTTGTTCAGGCTGGAGGCACCCTCCCATCCCAGCACAAGATGGTCTCTGACCTCTGGGTGGGACCAGACTCAGAGGCCACCCATATCCAACGGAAATAAGCTGTCCTATCTGCCTTGCCCCGACACTCAAACCCCCTCGAGTCAAGTCTGGGCTGTGATGGACCCCCCTGCTGCTGGGCTCCCTGGGCCACAATACTACACTCACACTCTCCTGCAGAAACTGTAGGAGTCATTCAGAAAAACAACCACTCCTTCCCTGTCAGCTGCCCACCGGCTGTCCATGCCTCCCTCCGTGTCATGCAACTGGGGGCCCAGCCCCTCATTCCTGACCAGAGAGCCAGCTGAGTCCCAGGCCCTCGCCCTCCCACCCCCCTGCTTGGGAGCAGTGGCAATACCCAGAGAGGAGCCCCAGGGGCAGACTGGTTGTCCCTTCCAGTCCTGCCACTGAGTGAGACTCCACAGGGGCCTGAGCTTCCGGAGCTCTCGCCCCCAGTGCCCCAACTTCCCTGGAGCTGAGCAGGTCGCTGGGGGTGAGATCCAGCTCTCCCACTTCCGCCATGGGGGCTGTTGAGAGTCTGGGCAAGGGCTTGTGCCGAAGAGAAGGGGGTCTTACCTTGGCCTTGTCCATGAGCTGAGCCCCTGCTGTCTGTGCCCCCAGCACAAGCCAAGCCCTACCCTCAGAGCTGGGAGCTAGGGCAGCGGGGGCAAAAGGAAGCCAGACTTGGGGAGCTCGTTCTGAAAGGCAGGGACTTGCCCTTGGGCATAAAGTG